TGAGATGATAGCGTTCCTCACGCTCGCTCTTAGTTCTCCCATGGAGTGCACAAATGTCCGACCATAGTGCATGGGCGTCCTTGTGGTTCCTCACCTGGTTAAACACATCTTTGCAAAGGCCTCAAAAGATGGTGTTTCTAGCCTTTGCATTCCATTTTTCGTAGTTCACTTTATCGCCTTGAAGGTGCGTGGGATCCCTAAGTTTTGGAAAACCTTGAGAGGTGGCTCTAAGAATTCCAACATCTAGAGCTTCTAAATACGCCTCCATGCGGATTTTCCAATACGAAAAATCATCTCCATCAAAGATAGAAGGAGGTCCATCCCCGTGAGACATCTTTCTCGAGGCGGTTAAGCCTAAATGCATGAGCACGAGGCTCCGATACCAATTGAAAGGATCAAGATGTCCAAGACGGGGGTAAATTAGGCTAATTCTAAAATTCTTTGCAATAATTAAACCCTACACTTAGCCCACTTCACCTCTTGTGCCTAGAAAGTGTTTCTAATGTTCTACCGCACAAAAGTTTTGCACCCTAAGTTCCAATCCTACTCTAGCATGGTAATTCTATGAATGTAAAGACAAGAACTGAATTGCTCAAAGTAAATGCTCAAACTAAAGAGAGAAGGAGGAACGCGGCGATGTTTTACCGAGGTATCGAAGAGTCGCCAATCCTCACTAGTGCTTGTTGGAGCACCCGCGCAAGAGTGTAGCTCCTCCTTGATCCGAACAAGGATCAAGTGGTCTTTATGGGTTGATTCTTCGACATTCCGTCATGGTGAATCACCCACAACCACTCACAACTTGAGTTGGGTCATCCACAAGCTCCGTCGAATGATCACCAAACTCCCAATCACCACCAAGCCGTCCAGGTGATGGCGATCACCCAGAGTAACAAGCAAGAACTCTCACTTGACCACAACAGGCCTAATGAGAAGGGTGGATGCACACTTGCTACTCTCTTTTTGCTAATGAGGCCTTAATCTTGGATTCTCAAATTTAAATCACCTCATTAGACTCTTGCTCTCCTTGGCACTTTCAAGGGTGTTTCTCAGCTATTGAAATGGGCAAGAGTTAATCCCTTGAGTGAATAGAGGAAGTATTTATAACCCCTCATTCAAAACGAATCGTTATGTGCCACTGCGGGGTGATCGGATGATCCAATCAAGGTGATCGGACGCTCCGGTCAGTTCTCCCCGCCATCGAGCAGTCAAGTTGTGACCGAACTCTGACCAGTGTCCGGTCAGCACTGACCGGACGCGTCCGGTCACGAAAACTGCTCTCTGGAACCTTACTGGTGTTGACCGGACTCTAGCACCCAGTGTCCGGTCACTTTGCTGCTCAGCGTCCGGTCAGTAGCCAGAACCTGACCAGCATTCGGTCAGCACTGACCGAACGCGTCCGATCAGGATTCTCCCTCTCTGAAACCTTACTGGAGTTGATCGGACTCTAGCACCCAGCGTCCAGTCATATTTCACTCAGCGTCTGGTCGCATCCAGATGACTTCACCTTGATCACATGAACTAACCGGACTCTGTGCCAGCGTCCGATCACACTGGAACCAGCGTTCGGTCAACATTTGGCCCTCCATTCACTTCAAACTCATAATCATATGTGAATGAAGTTTGCTCCAATTGATCTAAGGGCTATTTAGGAGCTACCTAGTGCTAGATTTGACAAGTGTGCACCACACCTAACCCATTAGACTCACCTAGGTCAAGCTACCCGTCCATACCCCCCTTAATAGTACGTCCAAAGGAAAAACAAAGTCCTAAACTACTCTAAGTGTCTCTTCAACACTAAACGACACTTAGAACTAGTCTATCCTTAACCTTGTCGTCCATCCTTTGAAAACTGAAACGATTTCCATCGTAGGGCATGATAACCATGATTGCCCAATCAATTTTCATTACCATGACCTAACTTAATTGCCTCTGCAAAACAGACGTTAGTCATAATAATCACGTATTGGCATTAATCATCGAAACCCAACTAGGAGCCTAGATGCTTTCAACCTTCCTGTTCGAAAAACCGTGCTCCATAGGCCAAGATCCGAGAGCTCCGATGAGCCGGCCATGGCGCCGTCGCCAATTACCTCGCCACAGGTCCTATTTCGGTGGCCACGTTTTTTTTCATCCGCTTGATCGAGTTTTGGCTGTTCAAATTTAATCCGACGGCCCCAGATGAAAGATACCCCTTCGTCTTGGAATTTTGCAAAAGAGCCCTTACAATTACTTGAGGCTTAACCCGCGGTCCAAAACATTTTTCCCGACTTCATTTTTTTCTTTTGAAAGCGTATTTTGTTTCGGTTATATTGAAAATACGTTTTCAGCTATTTACAGTTTTGCCACTAGAATTGTTTAGGCCATAACTTTTCCGTTTTAACTCCGATTTGACCCGTTCAAGTTTCGTTAGGTTCATAATTAAGTAATCTACATGTTTATACTACTGTTTTGTAGGTTTTCAACTTTTAAAATTTGAGGTTAGATTTAATCTATTATTTTACTCAAGAAAATCTTGTTTAATTCGTATCTTCTACGTTTCAACTCCGTTTTAATCCATTCAAGTTGCGTTAGATTTATAGCAACGAGATCTACTCATTAGTAGAAGTGGTTACCATGTCACTATTTCTGGAATTTTATGGTTTAGATCATATCTTGATTAATAATTATGCAACTGGATTTTATAAATAAAATATGATTTGTTTTACTTTAGTATTATAACTCAAACCTAAATTTGACTTAAATTATATTATCTATAAAATATCTTATATATGTTTTTATATAATTAAAACACATGAAGCTAATAGTTTTATATTTTCTTTCATGAGTAGATCTCTTGATAGTTGTATCTTTTCAACCGTAGCTCCGATTAACGTGCTTTTCGCGTCTTTGTGTTCATAGCGAGACGTAGATTCGTTTCACAAACTTTTCATTTTGATTTTATGTTTGGTGTATTGTTCTAATTTAGATCTATTGTGTGCTTCGTGTATGATTGCATGGATGCTTGTGTGGTGCTTTATGATCTTGTCTAGTCGGTGAGTTATACGTGGTGAATCAAGAAGCAGATCTTTAAAGTTTTGGACTTGAAGAAGGATCTAAGTTTAAGACAAATATAGCATGGGACCATCCTTGTTTTCTATTCACCTTTAATCACTTAATTCATATTGTATGTGTCTACCTTGTTGCCAATAAGGATATCCTACATATTTGATATCTTATACCTTCATTTCTATGGGTTATTGCATTTGGTAGTATGATGCTAGTGCTCAACTATAACCATGATCTTTAACTTGACTAATGGAATATGTAATAAATATTAAAAGATGATTTTTAGCAACATGGAGCAAGGGGGCTGGAGCATTGGGCTGTTTTTATGGTACTCTAGATTCCTCTCTCTAAGGACTCATCTGTAAGTGATCATCCGGGACTTACAGTACAACTGTGAGGGCTATATGGCTCTAGCTTTTGCTCAGTATGATGACCTTTTCTAGCTTGTTAGAGGTTACCTTTATGGCACAAGAGGGGTGTGTTTTGGGTTAGATATAGTGCGGCCTATGTCCGTCAGTGTATAGGCTGTGCATCATTGTGCCTATCGGAAGGGGAGCTCTACATTCGTAGGCCACAGAAACCTAGCGGCCCTAACTTATTAGATGAACCTTTGAAAGGCTTCATAGTGAACCCTGCCGATCTTTCTTGGAAGTGGGTCAAGAGATTAGCTACCTCAGGCGAAAGGGTAAATCACGACTCACAGTGAAAGTGTACAACCTCTGCAAAGTGTAAAACTGGTATATCAGTCGTGCTCACGGTCACGAGCGGCCTTGGAATATTTACTGAATAGATGATGAACACTGATGATACTAATGATAAAGATGCTCACTAATGTTTATCATTTATGCTATTCATTATTCATGTTTACCTGATCATGTGTTTATGGGCTTGTGATAAACTTGTTGCCACCCAATTGCTAAAAAATGACTCATTAAAAGCTAATCGCAGTTAAACCAGTGTTAGCCTTTTGAGCCTCATGAACCCCATGTTATATTTGTGGAGTACGACATGTACTTATGCTTGCTTTATTTTTCAATTATTTGGATAAAAATCCCGAATGGGTACCAGAGTGCTAAAGTTTGAGAGAATTAGGCTTGTGATCAACCAGTCAGTTGTCCTTGTGGATTTGGAGTCTTCGCCTGAAGATCAGAGTTGTCTTTTTCGTTGTTTGCTATCAAAGGTTATATTCTTTATACTAAGTATGTTATATATCGAGCATTGTCTATTGATATTAGCCTTATTTGTAGCTATATGTGAAATTTGACTCCCTATGTTCATATATGGTGTGTATCTGATTTTGTTCTTAAAACCGAGTGCTACAGAAGATGTGACCGGCGGGGAGATGCGCCGCCCTTAGCACAGAGCAGGAGTGGAGAGAGAGAAGTTTGGAGGGGAGTGGTGACGGTAAAGATAAGGACGGGAGGTCACTAGGTGAGGAAATTGTGCGTGCGCTCCCACGTTTGTTTCCCGCGCGTCCGGGTCGACCGTGGATAAATTTGTCCGGTCGTTTTCTGGTGGCCGAGATATACAACATTTAAGAGAAAAATACCATGTTCTGAATATTCATGTCCAGCTTATTCATAGAACAAACAGACCTCATCTAGGATATCCCTATTTTATCCCTAGATAATCCATGAACCAAACACATCCGAACCCCACGTGGCATAAAGATGGTTATTCATAGGCCTGCTGCCGCGTCCATGACAAGCCAAAGACCATTTTCGATCGTCATGGTGATCTCGCACTAGTGCAACTGTGACGCGTCCCACACGGGTTGCATGATGAGAACCACGTCACACCAGACACCACCGTCCCAGTCCACGTCACTGACCCCAGTCACTCAACACAATCCCAGACGCATCCACCAACACAATCCCCTCTCTGCTAGCAGAAGCATCTCCGCGACAGCTGCGCGCGCCGACGCCGTAGATGCCACGCCGTCCGTCCGTCGCCGGTCACTTGCTGCTGCCGGCGACGATCTCCTTGATCCGTAGCATGAGGTCCCTGGACTCCGGGAACTCCGGGAACACGTAGAAGGCGTGGATGGCGTCGGGGTACTCCAGCACCCTCACCTCCTTCCCCTTGCCGCGCAGCGCGTCGCAGTACCGGCGCTGCCAGTCCTGCAGCGGGTCGTACCCGCCGATGACGACCGTGGCGGGCGGGAAGAAACCGGCGGCGGCGGCGGCGGCGGCGGCGTCGATGCCCGCGGTGGCGCCCTCGGGGGACGACGCCTCGTGGTCGCGGTCGGCGCCGTGGGGCAGGAACGCGCGCCACATCCAGTCGGTGCGCGGCACGGAGACGATGGGCGCGCCCACGAGCCGCAGCTCCGCGGGCGTGCGCTCCTCGCCGCCGAAGAAGGGCTGGATGGCGATAAGGCCCGCGAGGCGGAGGTTGGAGAAGGCGGACGGGTCCAGCGCGTAGCGGCGAGCCACGTGGTGCGCGATGTTGCCGCCCGCGCTGTCCCCCGCGAGGAAACACCGCGCGGCGTCGATCGGCGGGGCGCCGGGGCCGGGTACGTCGGGCCCGCCGTCGTCGAGGAAGCGGAGCGCCGCGAAGCCGTCGTCGTAGGCGGCGGGGAAGCGGTGCTCGGGCGAGCGGCGGTAGTCGACGGACAGCACGGCCGCGCCGGCGTGCCTGGCGATGCGGCGGCACGCGGCGTCGTAGGCCGGGGACGCCGCGGAGAGGTACGCGAAGCCGCCGCCGTGGAAGAACACGACGACGGGCACCGCCGCCGGGCGCTCCGCCTCCGCCTCCGCGTCGGCGGCGGTGGGAGCGGCGCAGGGGTAGAAGAGGCGCGCGCGGAGGGGGACGGCCGGGTCGATGGTGACGTCCCGCGAGGCGACGCCGTTGCGCGGGGCCGCGGACGCCGCGACGCCCTTGTCGAGCACGCCCAGCAGGCGGCGGTTCACGGTGCCGTCGGCGCGGCTCGTGGCGTCGGTGACGTACCCCGCGGCCAGCACGGAGAGCCGCGTCCGCCACGACATCGGCGGCGCCACCCTCCCCTTCGCCGTCGCCGTCTGGACCGCCGCCAGAGCTGGATCCGCGGCTTCCCCCATGGCCGCCGGCCGGCCGCACGCGCGGAGGAGTTCGTGTGGCGTTGGACTCCTCACTCCTCGAATCGAGCGGGAGTGACAAGGCTGTGTTTGTCCAAGCGTCCACCCGTCGTCGTCTTCTTCCGTCTTCCCGTGCGTGCTTAAAACAAGCGAGCGAGACGGAGACATGATCTTGGTGTTGGGGTCCTGATGGGATTGCGGAACAGGGACAGGGTAGTAGACATGTGGAGCCGACCGGGTGCTCGACGACCTGTCAGTCGCGTGGCCACACACACAGGTCGCGCGCCGGGCGGCTCGCTCTCTGTCGTGATATTTACGAGGAAGGACTCGTGGCGGGGCCGAGGTGTCAGCGGGGAGACGTAGCGGCGGGTGGGTAGTGGGTTCTCGTTGGCGGTGCGACGGGGACCGCGCGGATGGCATTAAGGCCACGCCGTGGTGGGCCGTGCCGGAGGGGAAGAGAGCGAGACATGTGCCGGTGGCCGGTGGGGGAGGCGGACGGTGAACTGCACGCATGCAGCTTGTGTTTGCCAGAGTCCTGTGGCGGGAAGTAAAGGCACTGCAACAACCACGGCGGCCCAGCATCGAATGCGCCGTCGTGGCCGCGCATGGCGCGACGAGAACGGCCCGGCAGGAGGGGCGCGGAGTCCGTCGCTGGCAAGTTAACAGCAACCGCACGGCATGGCTGAGCGTTGCCGTCCTCTCGGCAAATTCTCCGGTTGCCGCTTGCCGGTGTTCCAGAAGGTGCCGTAGCCTGTAGCCCGTCGAGACGTAGAGGAAAAGGAAGCTCTTCGGAATCGACATGGGCCCAGTTCCTACGCCCGTTTAGGGCCTGTTTGGTTATCGCTGTTCCGGGCCGTTCCTGGCCGGAACAGTTCCGACGCTATTTAAATTGTCGAAGGAAACTCGGCCGGGAATAGTTTCCGGGGGTCAATCCCCAGGAACCGAACAGGGCCTTAATATCACCAGACCTGTCATGCATCGAATATGCCCATCGATTTGGTACGGGGCGTGTAGAGCGTGCTAGCTCCAGCATGTTCGTTTGAACGTGGCTTATCGTAAACGATCGTAAATTTTCAACCAGAACAGTATTTTTCTCTCGTACAAACTAGTCAGCAGTACTTTTTCATGAACCAGCAATGAAACGAACCAGCCAACCGAACAAGCCAACCGAACAGGTTGTCAGTTCGGTGCTTCGGGCAAGTTTTTTCTACCTGAGCCCCAGCATTGGTCACAGGCCAGCTTTTTTCTCTGGTATTGGTTTTTTTTTCTTTTTTTGAGAAAGGGTTGGATTTTATTGATATAGAACCCTTACATCCAAACCCCTGACCGGGTACCCCTAAAAGAAAATAAAATTACACATAAGTCCATTATAGGAGCATCCAGTGCCCGTTGCCATCGCCGACCATCGCTGCCGTAGCCTGGTCCTCGTCCATCTCCCGCAATGAAGAAGATCCAGAATGAAGCTTCCGGCCGATTCCCGATTCAACGAGTCTTGATTTTTGAAGCCCATCAGCAGCACGTCATACTGTTTAACCGTTGAACACCCCGGGCAAACCCCACTTTCACCGGAAATAGATGCCAGTCGCATCACCGGCAAGCTCCAGCCAACAAACAATAATCCCACAAAGGGGATCCAAGAACACCAGCCCACATGCAGGAGCAAGTTGATCCATAACCTCCAAGGGAAACCTCTTGGAGGGACAAAATCCGGTGAAAACACCACCGGTAAAAGCACCAAGTCTCCTTCGAACAACGACCATGTTGTAGGTCATGGATTCGGCGTTGCCATTGACGACAAGGCCACAGACAACCCAAAGAAGCACATAGAAGATTCGAGCACCGACGCAGAAGAAGGAAACAAAGAAAACATAGTCGATGCCAAACCTCCTGCAGATGATACTGTCGCTATAGTCCTCTAGCCCACAGACCACCACCAGAACCCGCCCACCATCGACATAGCCGACGCCGGAGAAGCTTGGGAAAGACTCCATCCCTAACCCTAACCTACACAAACAAAAAAGGAAGGGTATATATGTAACAGAACCGTCAATTTATAGGAGCACAAGTACAATAGCAATCACCGAAGCGATCAAACCATCATACTTGAGCTCATATAAACCCGGTAGTCCGGTGAAATCACGAGGGATCTCAAACAAACCAACATACAAACCAAGATCGTACATGATTCAATATAACCAGTCACATGTTATATCACAGTTCACAAATAGTTCACAAATATCTCACATACATAGGAGTTCACATAGTTATTACAAACCGAGTTTAAATAGCGGAAGCAAAGTAGTTTAACATCAACATCACACATAGTCCAAATATATGCCAGTGCTACGGTCATTCCAGCAAAAGCAGAACAAAGGGATAACTTAGGAGCACCATGCCCTATGGTTTAGTCCTCATCCATGGCAGGATGAAGGCAGTTCTTACAGTACCCGTGGTACATCATGTCATCTGCAACAAGAGGAAATAAACCCTAAGTACGAGAATATACTCAGCTAGACTTACCCGTCATAAATCAGAAATAATATGACACTAAGGAGTATGTAAGGCTTTATCGGTGGAGTTAGCTTGACAACATTTTGCATAAAAGCTTAAGTAACATAACTTAAAGGTTTAATATCTCTAGCATCAATTTGATTACCTATTCAATTAAGCATCTCTAGATTAGCACATGTACTAGAGCAATCACTTGATTAAGCTAACAAGCATTAGTAACCATATCCGGTTATAAGAATAATTTGAGCATCATCATAACCATCCAGTATCCATTAAGTTACTCTATGTTGCCGCTGCTCAGTCAAGTTCTCACTATCCAAGAGAGACGGCGATTTGAATCGATTCCTACCCAACTAGGGAATTATTCCTAACATAAACCCATACTTCCCCCGTCGAGGTCGCATCGGGTCACCTTTGGTACAACTCAGGAACCAACTTCGTGGGTCCAATCAGCGCCGCACCCTCAGAGATTCTATCAATCTGCCAGGAAGATCGGGACTCAAACCCACCCTTGCACTTATGTCATTGGCTCTCCGCACATTCTTACTGCCTAGCCTGAATTGAGCTACTCGGCTTCGCGGTCGGAATGACTTATCCAGCCAACTAAGTGCTAGACATGTGTTCAATATGACATGAGGACGTACAGCGAATCGGTCCTTAACCAACACAGATGGGGATAAATAGGCACCAAGACCTCCATGCCTTGTACTTCTCTATCACAATCCCGCCCGGTCTCCTTTTTATTCATCAACATATGGTTATTTCTACGATAACAATTATAGCCAACCATGATCAGTTATCTACCTATATGTTTTAGGTGACAGGAAATCACCTGAGTTCTACCGGACTAAGCAAGGCTAAGCATCAATTCGATCCTAGACCTACCAAGGATTCAAGATATATTTATCTGGACAAGGATAATATATGCAACAAGTGATTCCAATCAACTCTTATAACCTAATGCATCAAACATAAAGGACGCAAGTGATATTTGTAAAAACATAGGAGGCTTATAATGCTCCGGGACTTGCTTTTCAAGAACGAGGAAGGTTGGTGGTCAGCACACTCAGGGAGATCTTCTATGTTGACTCCTCCTTCTGCCTGAACTTTCTGCTCCTGGGCTGCCTACTGCTCCTCCTGATACTCGGGTTTGAACTCGAGAAGCGTCACTCCTTTCGGGGAACTTATTGCATGCATATGTACAAATGAGTACCATGAATGCATAAGAGATGAGATGATATGATAAATTGTGTATGCATGAGCATGGTTATCCGCAAGGTATATGATAAGTTTAACACTCGTTGACCAAGTAGATGTATAACTTTCTTCTAGTTGATTTTTACTGAGTAGGTGCATATCTCTCCTATAATACAAGAAACATACACTTACCAAGTTCTAGCAACCTAAGGTAAAGTTGTTCATCATCAGTAAGAGGCCTAGAACCTACAACTAACAACAAATCTCAATTAGCCTAAGTATCTACACAAGCATCACATAAGACAAACAACTACAATTGACTTAGTCATTTCCTGCTGTAAACAACAGCTACATAATTTGGTTATATCCGGAGTTCTACCGAACCAAATACTATGATCTTGGACTTTATGGAAAGCTTATAAAATTTCCTACAACTTTCATTTAATCACCAAAAGGTGATTCAACCATTATCCTAGTCAAAATAGGTAAACTTCCTAGGTCTATCCAGAAATTTCTAGAGAATAAGCATTTCTGGAGACCAACTTCTAACAGCTATAACTCTCAAACCATTTAGCATATTGCCATGAAAATTTGACACAAGTAATATAAGTAAGTTATCTACAACTTTGTTATTGACAATATTCACATCAAATATCATTTTACCCATGCAATTTACTTCACAACCGAAACTGTCCAAACAGTCACTAAAATTGAATTATAGAGTAATTAATATTTCACTGCATACAAGCAATCAAATTTAAGCACAACCAATGGTACCAACAGTTCATAGGCATCATATACACACTAGAAAATATGATGGTCAAGCCCAAGTAAATTATTTAAATGCATTTATTAATTTATTTGGACATTAAGGTGAAATAAGGAAAATATATAAAAGGTGCACCATAAATTCTGAGAAAATTACAGTAGCTTATACATGCCCCCAGTAGGCTACTGTATAAATTTCATAGTATTTGAACATGTACAACATCGTACACAAAAATAACAAACCAACATGGCTTAAAGTATCATAAATAGGAAATCCTATTAAAAAGTGTCAAACAACAGAATTTATATTTTTCTTAGCTTCCTCATAGCACAAGAACACTATGCAATAAATTTCATGCTCATTGGATACATGTTTTTACCATGAAAAATAGCACAAGAATCTAGCATTTATTCAAGATAAATAGCAAACTCCTATTTCTAGCAAGATCACTATGCAACCAATATTTTTCCCAGGTAGTACATGACAAGACAATACCAACAAAATTGGAATCACATTTTTGTCACTTTCCTAGCTCAAGTTATACATTCTACAAGATTAAAACCATTTAAAAAGCATTTTTAGCTACATTTTATTCTCCCAGAAAAATACTAGGAAACAGTGCATTTCATATTTTTATCAAATACTAAACTTCATGAGGAATCTGACAATGTTCACTCAATTTGGACACCTATAGCTCTAGATATGATTTTCCAAAGTTAGCACAAAATTCTAGACAAGAATAAAACAAAACCCTAAAGCTACAGCCGCTGACGCATGGGACCCAGAGGTTAACGGCCCCATTTGTCAGTCAAACAGAGGCAGGGCAAGGTGGTTGACTGGCCACTATTTGTCGATGGGGAAGCCACCGACGGTGAGGTCACCACCGCTGCACTCCCCGTGACCCTCCATGCCCAGGGGCACCCTCGGTTTGGTCGGAGGTCCACCAGAGCATGCTCGCACAGCGACAATGGCGAGACGGTGGAGGGTGCATGGAGGTACACCGGTGGTCTCCCGCCACCATTTGCACTAATGATGAGCCCTATGGCTCCGCGGTGCTTCAACAGAGCTAGTTAGGGTGGTTAGGGATCCAACGATGTGACGGTGAGCTCTGACCACGTGCATGCGTGCGGCGACGCACAGAGCACGGTGGCGCTCTCAGCGTTCCGGCAAGATGGCGGCGAGAGGCGAGTCTCCATCATGCCACCTACTAGGTCTATGGTTGCTCATCCTAAGGCACGCCAGAGAGGAGGAAGGCGATAGGCCAGCTCGGCAGCGGTGAGCTTGCCTGTCATGGTGACCGCAGCGGGAGCGGCGGTGTGTTCCTGTGCGCTTGCTCGGTAGCATCTAACCTAGACTTGACCTGTGCTTCTACGACCTAGTGCGGTGTGGGACCATGGAAGAGAAAGTAGGGGTGTGGTGGAATGGCCGAGTCATGGTAAGCCGAGCACGCGGTGGTGCTCCGGTGAGGTCTCACGGTGGCGGAAAATGAAATGCGGCCTTACCCAGGCGCAATACGGTGAATCAAGGGGTCGAGGAGGTGGGTAGTGGAGATAGAGCAGATGTGGCCAAGATAGATTGATGAGTGAAGCTACGTCGATGTGGCGACTACGGTGGAGTGGTGCGGTGGCGCGGCGAGCTCAGAGCTGCGCTTTGGCGATGCGGAGCGGAAAGCAGAGAGTGAGTGAGGGCGTGGGGGTGAAACAGCGGGCCCGGGGTGCCTTTGTGCCCATCGTGGCCTAAACGGCTAGGCCGTTGTCAGTGTACGGCCGCCACGTGGCAGCTTCGGCCTGATGCGGTCTGCCACCGACGCGCGCGACGCCCGCGACCATCAGAGCCCGACGGGGTGCCTGACAGCGCGACTTGAGGGTGATTTTGCCCTTAATCCACGACGAATTGGTGCAAGATGTTTAAACAAACTTTGTAGAGCTATGTAAGGGCTACAAGATTGCTTTAGAAATCATCTTCTAATTCGCAATGGTTTGGAAGTTACATCATCTCAAAGTCGGATACATCGAAACTGTGAAATTCTAAGTCCCAAAACAGTACTTTATTGATTCTTGTGAGCCCTATATGACCATGTTAGGCACTGAATTAGCTATTTACCCAAAAATAAAAGTTGTTACTCTAGTCAAGTACTACAACTTTGCTTAAGGATGCACTACCATGCAAACAATCTATGCTATAGTTCAACTTAGGTCAAACATACATCATGAAAATGGTAACTTACACTATAACCATGACTTAGAGGCCAAAATGGTCCAAGTCATGAATACCAAAGCTGTTCCTTGTGACATTCTAAGCATATTTAAGTTACTCCTAAGGCCCCACAAACATTTTATACGTTGGTCACATGTAAACCCTAGCATATGTAAGCATTAGCATCTATATATGAATCAACATTTCATGAGACAAAGTATAAGAATGAGATGAAGTTTCATATGCTCATGTTCATGAATGCTTGGATGATGCTTGTGCTTATGAAATGCAAGTGCAAATTGCAATGCTTAACACAGAGGTGTTACAATATACACCGGCCATCGATTCCGCAACTCCTCCCCATCCTCGGCGCCAAAGTGGCCACCGGAGACGAGAAGGAATCAACACCGGGAGTTGGAAATCGCCTGGGATTCGCCCGTGATCTACTGTATCTTGGGGAAAGAAGCGTGTGGAAGAGACCGGAGCGGTCTCTCTGGTATTGGGTGGTTGTCAACCGACAACGAGTTTTGTTTTTGGCCCAGGCTCTTCACTACATGGGCCGGGAAAGAAATATCAAAAAGAAACTAGACTACATGCCCTTTCGCATATCTGTATTGTGTTGGATGTCACACGAATACAATTTTAAAGACGCCACAGTTCCCTACTTTGTGATAGATTTGATATACTTTGGATAAAAAACTAAACAAGGATGCCACCTGCCATTTTTTTTCTTCAAAAATACATAAAATAGACAAATACTATAAATCCAAAACGAGTGCCTTGTGGGTTTCAAACTTATGAGATATGATTGAATGCTTTAAAATAACTTAGAGACAAAGTGCTTGAATGTTATTTTTTGCTTCACCGATCGACCCTAGGCCTCCAATAAGCATCAACCTATACGTGAGAAATAAATGTTTTAACAAGATGTGATACATGGTTACAATTAAGATTAGAGATCGAGATTATCCTCAAAATGGAAAGATGTTTGATAAAATTTGATTGTTTAAAGCTATCAACTATTTAAAAGACGAGCAAAACTAATAAACGTACACTCAATGAAAGATAGATCGTTGGATAAAGCAAAATTTATCTACCATTTAATCATTTTTCTCCTCTAGGTAACTAGAAGGATACCATATGATTTTAAATAAAGTTAGACTACTTATATTTACCTATCACATATAAACTATTATAAAGGAATGCTAGTGAATAGTGTGGCACGATGATGTGGTTAACTAAATACATGTTACTTGATGATGTGACTCACTAACGTGGATAGTTTGAATGAAAAGGTAACTATCATAGTGAGCTATAATTGCATGTGACAGTGGATTACTAAGTTGGATCGCTTGCGTGTCGAGATAAAAGGCTAGTGGAGTTTACCCTAGAAGATACTCTGCATGTTTATCGGAGATTGCGAAGAATTTATGATGAAATTAAGTAGAGATGATGTGGATAACTTGCAATTAAGAGGTTAGAAATTAGTAGGATGACATGGCTATCAGTAGAAGATGATGTGAATATTTAGTGGGGATGACATTGATGGTTTGCATGTTGTGGTGAGGATTAGCTTTATAAGAAACTAGAAATATACCTCGTGTGTTGCCGTGGGATTTTCTTAAAAATAAATCTATTATATACACATCATTACTATATGGTATTCTGTATACTGTGTATACATATATATGAATTTGACTTACATGTTATTTTATTGTATCAGATCTGGTAAAAATTCGGTAGGCTAATAGAAGAAAAACTAATAGAATATTTGATTACATTATAGAGAAATATGTGATGAAATAAATAGCGTATGTAGATCACTTGCATGTTAATAGATTAAAAATTTAAAGTATTTCACACGATAGAGATGGCATGGACATTTTTTGTAATTAATAAGGGATGACATGGACTTAGTGGGGAATGATGTGGACACCTTATATGAAAAGATAGAATATTTAGTGGGGTCACTTAGTGAAAAATGACGTGGACACCTTACCTAAAGAGAGAAATCATCTAGTGGGGGTTAGCTTAAGATATAGAATATGAATATAGATACAGATACAGATATAGATATAGATATAGATATAGATATAGATATAAAAACAGATATAGATATAAATATACAGATACAAATATTATAGATATAGATATAGATATAGATATAGATGTGATCACTAACTTCTTACCTGCATGGCTCCTTGCTATACTCATGATGTATATCTCCTATATACTCATGTATCTCTTCTTGTACTAGTTTCCTATTTGATTACATCACTTACAGACCATCTCTGAAAACCCAAAAAGTTTCCAAACTTTTAAAAAATATTGCATCACCAGAAAAACTAAATATGTCCAGGACATACTTAACATGATTAAAAAGAAAATATAACCTATGTATAGTATAAGATTTTACAAATTTAATTGATGACGTAGAATAAATACACGCTAATATAATAATAATAATAATAATAATAATAATAATAATAATAATATATTTTCCTCGCAAAAAATAATAATATATTTTAACAACCTCGGCACATATTTGCCCACGGTGTGAATCCTCACCTAACCCGCAAAAACCATCCAAATAAACAAAAACTCAGGCGCCCGTCGGAGCCCAATAAACCCATTCGACGTCTCGTAACCCCTCCGTCCCCCGCGCCCCAATGTCTGTCAAGAAGGACGACGAGGCCGGCACCTCGCCGCCGGCGCCGCCGAGGGTTGCGGTTGCGGCGGCGGCGGCTCCGAAGCCATCCACCTACGCGCCCATGGGCGCGCTGCGGGGCGAGGAGTGCGCTGACCTCCTGGCGCTGGTCTCCGCCGTCTCGCGCCCGCTCGAGGACGCCGTCGCGGATTTCCTCGCACGCGTGCCCCCCGAGCGCCGCCCCCGGTTCGGCAACGCCGTCAGCTTCGTCCTCGAGGTGCGTGGCTCCTCGTGACCAGAGACCCTCCCCGCCGCTTACGTCTAATTTCAGGCGCCGCTCTTGTTGGAGCCGCGTGCCGTTGGATTGTTGGGTTCCCAGGTTTTTAGGGGTGCTTGTGCAAAGCTGGTGGGCGTGGTGGTTGTTGGAGGTCCGGGGACCGGGTTGATTCGGAGAACAGTTAGGTTCGGCAATGGCAGGGCCTGGCTTATTCACTTCTTGGTTTGATTATTGAATCGAATTTGTGGTTTTTGGATGGGTTCCAGCGGCAATTCAGTGAAAGTTTACTGTTTCAGTTTCGGCAGTCATGTCTGTGGTTCTAGCTGCTTTGTTTGAACTAAATCTTCAGTTGAAAAATCAGTGGAAGTTTTGGCTTTGGTCGATCTTAGAATTGTGGCTCGTGGTGAGCACACTACTAGTGGAATCTCACTTAGTTGTCTACTTGGGCTCCGGAGGCTTCAGTGGATGTGGATTTGAGAATTGTGGTTAGTTGCGTACACAAAGAATGGCAATATAATTAGCTGCTTTGGTTACTGCTGAGTTTTGTTGGAGTATTGGTACGGCGCGTAGCAGTGCTGCAGGGAATTGTCTGTGGGTCAAGTTACTTCGCACAAATGAAAAAAAGATATCCGGTAACTTTCCAAAAAAAAGAAGTACAAGGTACTGTTGAGGTTGTTTGGTGTCAGTGTAGTTTGAATCTTTTACTATTTTAGCTTATGTCTAGTGCTCTTACCATGATCCTTATCCTCAAGTTACCAGTGCAACCATCTGGCATCAACACAGGAAGGGGCAATGCCTCAGCATTTCTATGCCTGTGGAGAGTAACCAAACCCTCCAACAGCCAATGCACGAGATATCCAGAGTTCTGTCCTCGGAACAAGAAATAAAAATCATCGAGTCAGCTAGGCATGAAAATCTGTACACATCATGATGTCTTCTTACCTGTTGGCGTAATCAATAGGCTAAGCTGAGATTTTCTACGTTCTTTCGATCATTTTTGCCATAAACTGTAGCTTTTGGTTCTTTTATCCCACCAAAGGCCGTGGGAAGTATACGTATTGTTCCACGTGTCTTGTAGTTTCAATACAAAGGGAAGTATGCGTATTGTTCCACGTGTCTTGTCGTTTCAATATAATAATAAAGGGTAGTGAAATGCAAGTTTTCTGACTCCTAAAAATAATGCAAGGTTCTGACTTAAGTAGAGCAATAATGTGTTTCATAAGGTTTTGTTACCTTTGTTTCATTTATACAGTTTTATGAGTTCTCCATGGCAAATTTTTAATTTATCTCATCTGTTTCATAATTGAATTATTATTTTTTCTGTTTTAGAGAATTACAAATAAGAAGGCACAGACACAAGTGGCTTCCAGAGCAGATAGGCTTGATTATATTTGTCATATCACCATTCCCAAAGCTTAGCATCATAAATTTGTTTGAATTAATATAATAGTCCACAGTTCAGGCTTAACTAGTGTGTTGATAAAAAAAAATAGACCGGTGGGAGGGAGAAATCTCCTGGACATTTTTTTTTTTTTTAACACAGAGCCTAGACTCTTACTGGTCCAGTAAAGTCCCCGAAGGTTGTTTTTTCACACACGAGTATTGCATCCCATTGGCGGCACCGCTCTTTGGGGCCAGCAGCTTACCGCAGTTCCCCTGGCTTACCGAGTTTATTGGATAAAGAGTATGAACCAACGAGGGGCCTTTTTTTTCTAACCCAGCCTGAAATTCGTTGCCACAGGGTACTTGACCTCTGTTAACCAGTCACATTGCAGTCTTCTTTGCATAATGTGTGGATTCTAAAGGAAATGCTGTTCTAAGCAAGCACTTTACTGGGCCTTTTAACCTGAAGGACCTTTGTGCTCTTCTATCACTGAAATGAATAGAAAATATGCAGGCCAGAAGTTCACAGTCTAATTGATGTTCTATTCTTCCTTGGATTTATTCTCTTACCATAGCAGTATTAAAGCCAGGCTTTAATTATGTTACTTTTTCTCTAATCAGGACAAGATGATGCTTCAACCTGCTGAGCGTTTAGTTGCATTTGCAATTCTACATCAAGGTTATTCCTCACAGTTGGCAAATCCATTTCTTCCTCTTTTAATAAATGTAAGCTGTAAAACTTGTCTATTCCTTTGTTATTTCAGTTTCAAGTAGTAAATCTGTTGCCATATGCATTAACTAAAGCAATAACTGAATGGGAAAACAAAAGTCTGTAGACCCACTTTATATGTCACCCACTTTTTACTTTCCCATGGTATTAACCTGAGGTCTAATATCTGGTTTAACTGAGGGATTACTTAATACATGCTGACTTGTCCATTTTGTTATTTCAATGAAAATTGCCAAAGAGTAACTACATTCAGTTATTTTTCTTTTGAGTAAATTATATTTTGCCAATTGCCATTGGTAATTGAGCTACAGCTTCAGCAAATCCCAGGTCTAAGCTGTAGTCTCACTTAATCCTATATACAAAAGTGACATGGCTGCAAGCGAATGCCATCCGGTTCTGCTGTTAGCAAAATAAATTATGCCTAAAAATTTATACTTGATATATACATTTTTCTTGCTATGTTTTGTTGATTGTTATGACTATTCAAAGGGTTGATGTGTACACAGCTAGTAAATGGTTAGCGCTACATGAATATTGTCCTGCGATTTACTTATCGTGTCTTCCTTGAGTCCCTCATATAGAGCCATGTATGAACTTGTTACCTTGAGCAAGGTGAACCTGTTGCAAAGTGTCTTAAGTTTAGAGGTGTGATGTAATGTTATACCAATCTGCATAATATGTTACCCCAATTCAGAAATTGGCTACGTTACCTTTTGTTTATCATCGTGCTTAGCTGTGATTCTTTTTTCCCATATAAGAAGACAAGTTACTGTTGATATTGTTCTTATGTACCACACCAATAGCATAATCCGATATTCCAATGTTTTGAAGATCTTTGTGCCTTTTGAAGTACAACAAATCATGTAAATGTTTGGACTTTGGAGTCTTTCATGACTTTTTTTTTTGTTTCTTGCAGGCTGCATGTGATGAAACTTCTGAGAAAGCAGAACAGGCATTTCTCCAAGTTTTGTTAAGTTCGACTAATGGGGACAATAGTGAGGTTGTGTAGTTGTCCGATTACGTATGATGATTATTTTGGAAACATTACATGAATTCAGGCTGCAAGAGTGCTGACATATTGCGCAGGATAGTGATGAAACATGGCTATAGAGTGTATACTTTCCTTCCCTAAAATATAATTTGGTCACACCTTATATCTGAAAATATAAGGCATGACTTAAGTTGAACTTTGATCATTTATTCTTGCTATAAGTTGGTACCAATTAAAAATTATGACCTTACAATTCCAGTTATACCACTTCTGTATCACAAATCTAGTTGAAACCTACAAAGTTTAATTATTGAAATACACACGCACCATACAATGTTGGATGGAGTAGTGTAGATGTTCTGGAAATAACAAGGAATAAAAGCGTTTGTTTGCTGTTAGATGGCAATGCAAACATTCTGTATTGGATGACTTGCAGTTGCAGCTGGCAATTGGTAACTGGTTCCCGCACTGGAAGTTGTTTTTTTTCTACTATGCTAGCTTATCCTCTAATTCTTCACATTTTATCACCTGTATAAAAAAACCAGATAACATCATATAACAGTCCAAGGTGGCGAGATTATCTCGAAATATGTGTTTGTGATTTAGGTGTCCTAGCATGAGAAGATTAGGGAGTAGGATATTTGGTTTCTATGTTTAGGGGATTGTAATTGGATATAAGTTACTAAAGTTCAGCATTATTTTCTTGTCACCTTGCTTACATGCATAAAAAAATGGTAGATCTGCTGAGACAGTTCTCAGTTTGTATGTTTACTAAAAGATATACTTCGCAAGTTTGTGAGGTAGATCTCAGTTTGTACATTTCCACAAAAGATATATTTGGCATTGTATACTAACTTTGCTTTTCATTAATGTTCAGGTTCTGAAGCAGTCTGCTGTCGATTACTTGAATGGATCTGATTATGCATCTCAGGTAGATGATTGTACCTTCATACAATTATGAAACTTAGTTGATACACTTGGTAGGCAAACTATGTCCAGTATATGTAGGATTAGTTGTTAAGATGGGCATCTATTTTTTAGGTCTTTTTGCCAAGAGAACAGCTCGTGAAACAATGTTCCTATGATGTTGCAAGACCTCTGCCCTTCTCTAGTAATTTCAGAGATGCCACTGTCAGAAGTGCTATTCTTGACCCAGATGTTTTTCAAAGCGTCGGTAATTCATCGGAGTATGTATACACAACTATCTGCTTGCAATGACTGTTTGGTCATCTGTAACTTGGAATTCATTTTACTTCTACTGGTTTGATTATGAACCAAGTTCTTCATTCATTATTCACAGGGTGTCCTCAATAATACCAAATAGAGATGACATGGTTGCTACATTACTTCAACAAACATCACTTAAAGGATTGCCTCCTCAATGGATACGACCCTCACCACCAAGACTTGAAATTCTTGAAGGGGAGGTAAGGTTGCAATTTAAGAGTTCATTTTTTTCTTGAATACGCAGGAGACCTGCACATCATTGCATTAAGAAGAATTGTTTATTCATACACTAATTTTATTTCTGAACATATGCATTTATCTATGAATGTACTTATTTACAGTTACAGTGGCTGAACATAGACAACAACCATGAGCTACTATGGGATGGTACCATGTGTGCGGACACTAGCCGAGGTGCTGTGATTCGAGATCTGGTCGACCAAGCTTGTAAAGGTCCACTTGCAGTGGCCCAGCAAGAGGTTCTTTCTGCAACCTTATTCTCAAATGGATATGCTTATAGTTCAGTCTACTAAAATAGTACCTGATCCATAGGATTTTGCATCAGAAATGCGGGTTTGTTAGCGCTTGATTATTTTACCATTTGTTTTTTACTTGATTTCTTTAAATATTTTCTATAAAATAATAGAACTAAGCGTCTAAGCCCTTCATGCTACTTATTTAGTTGGTGTACCTGTTGCTTCCTTGTGGGTAGAGCCCACCCACAATATGTGGGTGAGGCTGCATCCATCTGTGGTCTATTACTATCTTGTTCTCTTCAATCACTATCTTGTTCTCTTCAAAGTGGTTCTAATCCTGAATTCCTCGCTGATAAGCATTGAATATTAAGGTGTTATTGAGTGTAGGTTGTGTAATTGGTGGCCAGCTGGTAGTGAAAGCATTGAGTATTGATGTGTTGCTGAGTGTTAGTTGTGATTGTGGATGGTCCAAGGGAGCACCTTGTGGAATATGTTAGCGTGTGATGGCTAAGATGACAAGTGATGGTGTGCAAAGGCATAGTGTCGACTAGGCAACTTGGGTCCCTAACGCTTAATGCAACAAAGGGCTGACCAGTGCGAGTAGTCTCAATCTGAGTCGATTTGTGATGATGTGAAGGGCAACTAGAGAAGTCCATGGGGCAAGAGTTAAGTCGGGAATGTCAATTTTTCATTGCATGTAAGAGGATAGAGCTGTAGTATTAATAGCTTACTTTTTTCTTTATAAGACTAGAGAAGATGGCGTGGAGATTGTCCATTCCAACTCAATCAAATTGGCTAGTTTATGGAAACTATAATTTGTTGGATTGATCCTATTAATTATTGCTTTGTTTAAAAAGGAGTAACTAAATCACTAATATAAAAAGCATGAAAGGGTGTCTGGTTATTGTAAGTAGATTTTGTAGCATTTAGTTTATATGGGTTTTCATGTATTTATTTTTACTATACATTTTTTAATATGCTAATTAACTAGAAACTGAGTTCTATTTGAAATTAGTCTTAAAAGTGAGTATGTATAGTTCATATAGAAATAAGGGGCCTAGTAGAGATATATAAATAAAAGAAAATAAGGGACTCACACAAAGCAACTAGAAGGGAGTTTGATGGACCCTCAAAAGGATGGTCTTCGATGAAAAGGCTAAACAATAGTTTTTTATTTTTCCTTGTGGTATGGACTATAAAGGGTAGAACACCCTGTTTTTTTCTCATTCAATATCATACAATACAACAATGCATTTTTTTACAGTGAAATACTACATGTACATTACATCCATAGTTTTCGACCAGCTGGTGAGCAAATGTGGTAATGAAGTTTTGTGATAGCAGATAGTGATAGGCGTGACCTTTGGGTGAAAAAAAATGCTCTGCTATGTTAAAAACTTAATCACATTATTCGAAATCAACAATTCCAGGATGTGTTTGCACTTGTTGCACTTTATTTTACTAACTTTTAAAAGTTTATTGCATTGCAAATGTTGGATTCACATTTTTCTGGATGGTACTATGTATTGTTCTAATGCTCATCTTATTGTTTAATGCTAATATTTAGTATATATGCTATAACAGAAATGCATAGTTATGCCTCCTAAGCCTAAGGGTGCATTCCGCAATGTCTACAGCAGGCGCAACCGGAATCATGGTAGCGGGCCAACCCAATCATTGGGTTTCAAACAGCATTAAAATTGGAAAGATAAATATTATAGGCATATTTGTTTGTTGAATCGTTACTATGTTCCAAGATTTAATACACTATTTGATTTTCTTAGCATAATTGTTAGGTACTTGTGGATAGGACAATGTGGGGTTGGTCCACAGAAGAGAGAACTTATTATAAGTATTGTGAGAATGTGAATACTGTGGATATTGGATTATCTGTATTGATCCCTGTGAGTTGGTTAAACAATCCTAGAGATAAAGATGGAAACTAATCCTATCCTACCATAACAACCTGGATTCTTATGGATCCTTGCCATAATCATAGCATGAGCAATGTAAATGCTTAGACTAGAGTCGGAAGCGACAAGGTTGTTCAAGTAGATGATAGCCTCTTTTTGTTGCCAATGTTGCCGAGACTGGTGTGTTGTTGACATGCCTTGGAAAACGAAGTTGCAGGCCTAAGGCACCAACACGAGCACGCGCGTGCACATAATCAACTTGATCTTCATTGTACGCCCCACTAGCGGCTTTGAGGGCGGTAGATGGTGTTTATTTGGATAGTGGATGTATTGCATTGAGCCCTTGGGTAGTTTATATATAGTACAAGACTTGGGAGGCAAGACAACCCACAGAGACATATGGCAATCTACGATATCTGAACTACCAAATATATAACATCCCCCTGTAGTCGTAGTGGGAGCATTGCAGTGGAGAAGAGAAGCCAAAGGCTAACATCCGTCCCCACAGAGTAGAAACCAACAAGGAGCTCATGCGATTATAGCCCTTTCTGCCGATGTTGAGGTAGCCAAGCGCGAGGGCGCAAAAGCTGTGGTCGAAGAAGCCGTGTTGGAGATAGCCGAGGTCGACGTAGTTGTGGTCGGATTGCCGATGTCGAGTCGGTAGCGCATATGAAGCCTTAGGCGCACAAGAGGCACCATGGTGGTAATGTAGATGCGTCGAGGCAATCGTCGTGCAAGGGGGTGATGCCGAGTATTAGAGATATGTGACTATACATATCTCTAATACCGAGATCGTCGCATTTAGGGCCGTCGTGGCCGTAGAAGAAAGGTGACGATGCAACTAAGGCAGACATGGTGGGAACGGGAGGGTCGATGCCGAAGTCGATGCAGTTAAGCCGCTTGAATCGAGATGTATGCCGTGTTTGCCAGACCTAGCAACGTGTTGGGGACGAAAGCACGCACCAGTGTTGCCAATACCGGACGTACAAGGGAGAGGGCTCCAACCAGGAGTGGTTGTGTTGGATGAAGAAGAACCAGTGTGGGAATGGATGCTTCCAACCCGAAGGTGGTGTAGTTGGATGGATGTATTGCATTGAGCCCTTGGGCAGTTTATATGGATTACAAGGCTTGGCAGGCAATGCAACCCACAGATACATATGACCATCTATGATACACTATATCTAAACTACCAAATATACTCTAACAAGATAGCCAACGCCACGAAAAGAGTGAGTAACATGAGGCAGACCCATTGCCTGGTTGGGCAGTGATCTCAACAATGATGGTGTTGACTCAAACGTTGGTTCTTGGAAGTGCGACACCTCATGGTTGTGGATGGTATGCTAGCGATGATCTAGTGTTGGATGACAACCGGGTAGATATGCACTTGGATTGGCGCAAATAGGGCTTGGCCTAGGTGGGAGGGGCGACCGCCTTTGGCCTAGGCTTGAGAGGGACCTATCAGGCTATATGTGCACTATGTGGGATAGCAGATGCAAAACCTGCAGAAGGTTCCCAGGCCCAGTAGAAAAAAAGAAAAAGAAATGTCGCATGTGTAGTCGCCTGTCGGCCTTTAGTATGTTCTCAGTGCTCTTCGCCTCGACTTGATGGTGCCTTAGGCTCCTCGGTCCTCCTTGTTCGCTCATCACCACCATGGAGAATAGAATTGGCAGCAAAACCAGCAGTAAGCTAGTTTTCTTCAAGGTTGTACGGATTGTTTGGATTGTCGCCGGTTCTTTTGCCATTGCGTGATTTGATTCCGGTTGCGCCCTTGCGTGCAATTTTGGGTGCTTTTGCATCTCTAGAATTGGGAATACTGATCTGTTGCTACTATTTTAGTTTTAGGTATACACATTGTTTTTCAAGAATTAAGCATACTATTATTATTACCTGCTTTATCATGTTATAAATGATAGCGCCCGTTCACCCTAGGGCCCTCGAAGTATAGAGCCGGCCCTAGGCGCAAAGGACACAGACCGGTCTATGATCAGGGAAAAACAGAGAAAACCCGATCTGAAGTGTTTGGAAAAATCTCTAGATGTTAGCATCGCACTGTGTTGGCAACATACCAATAGTGTGCAAACCCCGTGGAGATCATCTCTTTGGGGGTGGTGCAATGTTGAAGCATGGAGGTGATAGTTCAGGAGCTGTGGAGTGGTGGGCGCTTGCTTTGATACCATGTGAGAATATGAATACTATGGATATTGGATGATTTCTATTGGGCCTTGTGAGCTGTTTGTATAGTACATGATGGCTTGGATGTTAAGATATCCTAGAGATATAGATGGAAACTAATCTTACCTACCATGACGACCCAGATCCTTGCCTTATATTCGAACAAGTATTCCTATTTTACCAGCATGGCCCCAAAGAAAGATCTAATAAAGGCTACCAAATTTCTTATACTACCTCTGGATGTTAATACTTGACGCTCCGGCTAGTAGCCGACCAAGGATTTTGTAGTTGGGTGCTCCCAATAGAAGCTTTTATTTCACGTGTATAACTACCGAGCTGGGTGTAGTAGAGAGCTAGCTCAGGTAGACATTGGGTTCTAGGCCTTTACTTCTAAATTTAGGTTTGGGTAACTAGCCATCTAAACTTTTTTTAGCTTTCATTGAAATTGATATGTTATCATTTATTATAGTCTCTTGTGTTGTTTGATACCCAATTTCAAACTGAGCTTACCGAGCCAAGCCAAAAGTTGAAAGTCATTCAAAATCACCTAATTTGATTTTAAAGAAAAATGAGTTCAATCACAGCATTTTTGAAACCAGCCACCAAGCTGGCCTGCTGGGTGTATAACCATTCCTAGGTGCTGCCTATGGGCATGCCTACAACCTTTGTTCATCTATCTTGAGTGATTGGTTAACCACCTTGTTGAATGAAGAAATGAAAAAATAGGAAAAACTGAAAATGAAACATCTAGATAGGGAAGTCAGTTATAGGACTAGGAATACAAAATATTAGTGCCATCTTTAGAAACATGGAGTACAAAAGTAATAAATCATAAATAAACTTGCACGTATTTGAAGTATAGTGGTAGTAGCCGCAACATGCGATGTGCAGGTAGTTCTAGGTCAATGAAGTATTTATCTGGCATAATGTTACAGGATAACAGCAGACGCTCTATAGTGTTATATTTTGAAATTTTGATCATTTTACATGTCTAATGAATTTATTACTTCTTGCAGAAAATTATTGAAGATCTGGGGAAGGACTGGAAGCTAGTCTATCATTGTGGGATGACACCACAGAAGCTCCCTGTATGTGCTTGCTCCTGACAAAATGCTGAATACTTTGCCTGCTTTGCTATTGGTCTGACGGTCTGACCAGTTTCTGCTTTCAGGACCTTGTTGAACATAATCCACTTATAGCTGTCGAAGTTCTTTCAAAGCTAATCAACTCTCCGGACATGGATGCGTATAAATACTAGCTTTTTCATTTGTTTTATCTTTATCCTTGTAATTATTGTGTTTTTTCTGCATGTCAGGTTTCACACTTGCCTTATTGTTTGACAGATACTTCGATGTTATTGTCCATATGGATATGAGCTTGCATTCAATGGAAGTAGTAAACAGGCTCACTACTGCTGTAGTTTTGCCACCAGGATTTGTTCACGACTATATCTCAAACTGTATTCGATCATGTGAAGACATTAAGGTCTGTTTTTTAATCATGCATTCCATCTTTTCTGGTAGATCAGCATCTTTTGATAATCATGGTAACATGGTTCCAACATCAGTTCTGGGCTGCTAAAATGTTTATTGGGTTGAGCACTACTTGTTTTCGATCAAATTCTGTTTATCCCAGGAACATGAATTTCAGTTATATGTAAATTAAAAGTATTGCATTATATGGACCTAACATCCATTCTTCAATACCAAATGCAGCCACCTCCTGGTGGAATCATTGCATTGATTTATGCTTCAGAGACCAATTCAACATGTTTTTTTGGGATAAATAATTATGAGTTAATGATGTTGTCTACGAAGTGTTCTTGTATTCACACTATAATATTTCAACTTCAAGTTTGAATGTCTATTGAGTACAGCCATCTATTTACTCCTGATGTACTACGATGGAGTGTTAATATTTTCCTATTTACTGCTTCCTTCCTGCACATGCTAAAATGAGGGTCCACTTTTGTTTCTGTTGATTATTTGAATGAAAACTGAACATTCCTATAAGTGTGTTAAATGATACACATGGCACTTTGTTAAGTGTTGATAAACCTTCTTAACTAACATTGTTTGCAGGACAAGTACATGCAAAATAGACTAGTGAGACTAGTATGTGTTTTTCTACAGAGCCTCATTCGGAACAAGATAATAGATGGTGAGTGTATCAATGTGCAATTCTCATATTGCACTTCAAATGCAGTTCTCTATCTACTTTCTCTATTATACTGAGGAAAATCATTAGAGATGTCTCTAGTTGTACAGTATTTAGAACTTGCATGTTCTCTGTAAGCTACTCAGTTTTATACTTTTATCGATCTAAAGTAGTATAGTTAACACTCAATAAATCATCATATTTGATCTCCTAGAATAAATAATAACAAGCTTTCATGCAGATCTTTAACTTCTCTACTTTGATGAAACTAATTTTCATTCGTTCCTTTTTCATTGTGTATCTGTTGTAAACTCAATGGTTGCTGAAAATCTTTGTTCCAATTCAACATGTTTAATTGTTTATCTATCTGTTTACGTGGTTTAGTCATTAGTAGGGAGGTGCCTCATCGTAGTTGCCACTTACCTGAGATTTTTAAAGTTTTCATCGTTTTATACAAAGGTTTCAAATGGAATGTAAACTGGTGACTGGTGTACTTATTATATGTGAAAATATTGAATTGTGCGAATTGTATGCACAGCGAATTAAGTTACCTTCTGGAACTCAGTTGGAACAATCATAGAAGCATGGATAGAAATCCTTCTCCCCAAAATTGATTGAAATTTTAAGTGATTATTTTTCCTTCACCTTTTGATGTTTGGATGTAGTATAATCTGTTGCAAAAAGAAAATTGTGTCCTTTAGGCTCCTCACATAATATCTGGACTTGTTTTCAGGGAAAACTATTGGTTTCTTTCACTGCTCATAGAAGAATGCTATTTCACGCACATTGATTTTCCTTATTCAATTGAGGGCCTGTTGATTTAGAGTTTTAGACTTGTGATCATTTGTGTATTACTTATTCTGTTATTGATTAAGACTGAAACCCCATACTGTGCAAAGGATGACATTTTTCTAGATGCTTGGTTGTGTGCAGTGCAAGATCTCTTCGTTGAGGTGCAAGCATTTTGCATCGCCTTCTCGCGAATAAGGGAGGCGGTGGGGTTGTTCAGGCTCCTCAAATCTCTAGAATGAAGAGCGCTGCACCATCTGTTGGCTGTTGGATCCTCTAAACAGAAGTTTCCATTGTGTACATCCATGGCTATCTGCCTTTGTTGCCAAACTGGTGATCCTGGCATAGGTCTGGACTCTGTAGGGAATGGCTTTTGTTGGTGTTTTAGTTATCATCAAGCTGTGTTCCCTTCCTTCATCTCAGAAAGACGCGGAGGAAAAAAACGTAGATCTTTGATAGGTTGGGTTGGAGGTAGTAGAATTAGTTCTATTGGGATTGTCGCGGCGTCATGTAATGTGCGATGCGAATCCCCGTGGGGCTTGTCGTTCTTGTGCATTAGGCAACAAAGGCAAGCCCCTTAGGTCATAGTTGGCTCGAAATGAGGCGATGGTACGATGAACTCTGAAACAACCGGGATAGAGTAGCCTACTGGTAGTATTCTTGCTCTGTGACACTGTACATCATTTTAGCCTCAGAAACGGGTGCTTGCTTGATTGCACCCTTCTCATGAAATTTGTCATACCTCTATTTCGAAGTTCACTGTTACATCATACAGATGTGAGACAGAAGTGAGTTGAAGAGTGTGTTATAAGTTGGAGAGTAGAATTATAACATAGTGATCTATAAAATCTATTTCCATCTCCCGGTATATGAATTTGAGATATGCTTATTTGTGAGCTTGAGAAAGTTATGGAATATCAAATTTCGAGCCAAATAGTCTAATCTATTAAGTAGATTTCAATTCTTCCAAAATAAAGGGATCTAAACGGCCCTTAAAAGAATTTGACATTTCACAGCAGTTTTTTTAGAAGAAGAAAATATCACTGGAACTGATTTTCTGCTCTGGTGCAACATAATAGTATGATCTAGTGCTTCGCCTTGTCGGCATGGATGCCCTTCTGCATTGTTCAGTTCAAACATGGCCGAGCTGGGGTTAGAAGAATCTGCACACAAAGACAACGCATCACTGGCTTCACATTTCAGGGTCGTTGAAGTGCTTCCTCCTCGGCTACTCTTTTTTTTGTTGGCCTTGACAGCAACAAAATTTGTCAGAACAAAAGTGCTTTGTGTTCCCTGCAAAATGCCAAAGCACGCATAACCGCCCATCAGTGCGCCCTTGATTGGTTGTAGCACAACAGAACATGACCTAAACTAATTGCATGCTGCCATGCTTAATCTGTCAATACTTAAGGCCTGGTACAATGCATTAGTTTGCAAGTTGACGGCATAAAAAACTTTCAGTACCTACCAAAAGCTAGCTTGATTTGATTGCTGCTTGAAGATCTGAAGTACTGGCTTTTCTACACTTTTCCAAACCTTTTTTGAAGATACTTTATAATGGTATTTAACCTTAGGCGTTTCATATTTTGATATATGGTTAAAATTGTGAATAGTTCCCAAAGTACTAAACCGTTTCTCTATTTCTTTTCCCTCTCTGATAGAATTTCTCCATTCTATATAATTATTGCTTGTTACAGTGCATATTTTGGAATAATGGGATTTTAAGAAAATAATAATATAATATTATTGCTTACTACCGCAGGCCCCCCCAATACCCCTCCCTGTTTTTTACAGGGCATATTTGTTTCATTAGGATAATGCTTTCACCATTAATTACGCTATTAAAATTTTATTTATGTGGTACAAAATTATAATTATAATTATAATTATTTCGAATATGAGCATGGTAATATCAATTTTTTAATAAAAGTTATGTATTATTAGAATAATTATTGGTCAAAGTTTGTCCCATGAAATGAAATAAGCCTTGTAAATTTATATGACAAAGAGTATTGATTACTGTAACACCCTAAAATTTGCATCAATTTAAAATAGGTAAATTTGATTTAATTATGTATTTTGTGAGTATTTAAATTTAGAAATAAATAATAACCATGTTAAAGTTAAAATCAAATATAAGGTCTACATACATGTTTGTGCATTCATGCTGATGCATACCTATTTTTGTGATGCTTAGGTTGATCAAAATTTGCAAAAGGATTTAAATTTGAATCTAAATTGGATTTGAAATGGTGTTTAAGAAAATAGAAAAGGAATTTTATCTTTTCTTTTCCCTTCTATGCTTTTGCCCCAAGCAGCCTAGCACCAGCTCCCTCTCTTCCGCCGCGGCCCAGTTCCCCCTCTGTAGCAGGCCGGCCTAGCCGAGCAGCGTCGCCCGCGTCGGTTCCCTTCCTCCCGCCTTGTTTCGCTGACCAACCGGGCCCACGCGTCAGCGCGCCGTCTTCTTCCCTGAGTCGAGTCCGTACCGAACTCTACCGTCGCCTCAGACTCCGTCGGTGCCACGCCTCCTCCCTTGGTGTGCGCCCAACGCCTTCCCCGGCCATAAATAGTGGCCAAGCACCGCACCGCCTCCCTATCCGTTCTAGAGCAGCAGCCGCCTTCGCTCAAGCCACGCCACCACAAACCCTAGCGCCGCCATTTGCCGGTTCCCTCACCGAGCGCCGCGCCGCCTTCTTTCGCTCCGCACCACGGTAAGCTACCTAGCCGAGTTCGCCGTTCCTTCCTCTTTCTCCTGGTGCCCTCGGTTTGTTTCCCCGTGGTCCGTAGGCCGTGTTCTACGTGCGCCGCCCGTCTCCGTCCATAGTGCCGCCGACAGCCTCTCCTCCTCCCGTATGATCTGAGCCATCCAGTCACGATCCAACAACTCAGATCACGCAATACCGATTCGGCCGGTCGTTTTGCAAAAGAGCCCCTCGCACGTTTGTAGATTCGAACCCGTGGTCCAAAGCATATTCCTAAAATACATTTTCTTCTTTTGAAAACGTAGTTTCTTCGGTTAAATCCAAAATTTGTTTTCATCTATTTACAGTTTTGCTACTAATCTTGTTTTAACTCTAAAATCTTCGTTTTAACTCTGATTTGATCCGTTCAAGTTTCGTTAGGTTCATATTTGCGTAATCTACATGTTCATACTACTGTTATGCATATTTTCAACTTTTAAAATTCGAGGTTAGATTTAATTTATTATTTTATTAAAGGAAATCTTATTTAATTCATAACTTCTTTCATTTTAACTCTGATTTTTTTGATCTTCGCGTCTATGTTATTGGTGTACTGTTCTAATCTATAGTCATTATTTGCTATGCATGATTGCTTCTAGATACTTGTGTGTTGCTGTGATTATCGAGTATAGACGGTGAGCAATTTGTGGGTGATCAGGAGTACTACTTTGATGAGTAGGATCGGCAGAAACACTTTGTTCAAGGCAAGTATAGCATGAGATCATCTTTGTTTCCTATCAAATTTAATATATTTAATTCATATTGCATGTGTCACCTTGATAGGGATTCCCTAGAATTGAATTTATACATTGTCTCCTATAGGATATGCATTGGGTAGCATTGCTAGTGCTCAACTAAACTATGATCTTGTAACTTGACTAATGTTATATGCAATAAACATTAAAACATGACTTTTTAGCAACTTGAAAACAAGGGGCTAGAGTGTTTAGCTACTTTCTAAATGCTTCAGATTCCTCTCCCTAAGGACTTATCTGTAAGCGAACATCCGGGACTTACAGTACAACTGTGAGGGCTATATGGCTCTAGCTTTAGCTCAGTATGAGGACATTTTCTAGCTTGTTAGAGGTTACCTTTATGCCGTAAGAATGACTTGCCGAATCGGGTATAGTACGGCATCTGTCCCCTTATGTATAGGCTGCGCGTCATTGTGCCATCGGGAAGGAGGCTCTACATTTGTTTGCCGAGTGAATCTAATGGCCCTAACTTGTTAGATAAACCTTTGAAAGGCTTCATAGTGAACCCTGTCTGCTCACCTTAGAGGTGTTTTGGGAGTAATTAATCCGGGCATATGAGTATCACAACTCACAGTGAAAGTGTACAACCTCTGCAGAGTGTAAAACTGGTATATCAGCAGTGCTCATGGTCACGAGCGGCCTTGGACCCTTATGGAATAGATGATCACTAAGAATTATCCGTTTATGCTATTTATTATTCATGTTTACATTGATCATGTGTTTTACTTTGGGATTAAAACTACTTGTTGCTACTCTTATGCTAAAATTGTGACGACTAAAAGCTGAATGTTGTTAAACCTGTGTCAAGCTTTTTGAGCCTCATGAACCCATGTTACATTTGTTGAGTACGACACGTACTTATGCTTGTTTATTTTCATTATTTGGATAAAAATCCCGGATGGGTAATAGATGGCTATGGTAATGACGACTTTCCTAAGGATTACTAGACTTGTGGTCAACCAGTTGACGTCCCTGTGATATGGAGCTTCCGCGAGAGATTTTTTCCTTTATACTTCCGCTGTATTTATGTGAAGATTCTGTCTTATCATACGTGATGTAATAAACACTTGTGATGATACTATCTATAATTTGTCGACTTATGTGTGTGACTTATCTCTGGACGCACAAAAGATTATGCATCATATTTTATCCTTAAAATCGGGTGTGACAATTACTAAATGCACTTTGGATAGAAACAGCCTAAAAAAGTAAAAAAAAATAATGCCATGATTCCCTTGGGCTCAAAACTTTGGCTACTTTTCTATGGACAGTAACTTTGAATCTTAAGCAAGTAAATAAACCAAGGAGCAATAGCTAAACTAAGTTGAGCAAAAAGCTATGTGTTTGCCTCCAAAAGCCAATGCATAGCCGTTGAGGCATGCTCAGATTTTTTATTCAATCATGATGAACTGTTCGGTTCAGGATCATCAAATAGATCGATCTTGATCTACGTCGTGTAATCTTTATTAAACCATCGATCCTAATGCGTGGCACATGGCCAAATTGTGGCTTCAGTGGTCTTGAATGTCAAGAATAATATGATTCCCCTGCTTTGCATAGAAGGTTGATGAGGGAGAGACTGACAAGAGGGACCAATGTGATAGTTTAGTTGAGCAGACATGTTGGGCTACGCATGCCAGATACCATTACAGTATATTTATGGCTACAATCTTCTAATTGAACTACTAATAGCCATACATGTCTAGAGCTTAAAATTTATTCAGATTTGGGCAAGTTTTATTTTAT